CCATAAATTGCTTTTAACTGGAAAGTTTTAATTTCAGATCATCCTTTGTGGTGATTTTAGGTCTCTGAGTTTGCAAGGCCTTCCCTGAGCTTGTCAGGTTAGCATGAGGCCCCTTTTCATCCACAATCTAATTTCAAAACATTTTCAACACCCACAAAAGAAGCCCCATATCTATCAGCAGTCACTTCCCGTTGTCTCCTTCAGCGACCATTATTTCACTTTCTGTCTCTATGGATTTGTCTCTTCTGGACATGCCATACAAATGAAATCGTACAGCCTGTGGCCTTTGGTGTCTGGATTCTTTTATTTAGCCTAATGTGTTCATGGTTCATCCACTTTATACTATGTACCCGTACTTCACTTCTTTTTGCAGCTAAATAATATTCCATTATATGGACAATTAACATTTTATTTATCCATAATCAATTGATAGACATTTCCATTTTTTTTTTACTAATATGAATAAGGCTGCACTAATATGTACAAGTTTTTGTATAAATATATCTTTTAGTTCGATGAGGGGAAAATGTACCCCTAAGCAATTTTTATGTTCATAGCCTTTATTAGATCATCACCTGAGAGAATTTTTTCCCATGTTAATATCACCAGCACTTACCATAGTGCCCTGCACCTGGAGATGCTCAAAAAGTGATGGTGGTGACAGCTCCAAGGGCTGGAATTGCATACAAATAAAGTTCTACAGGACTTCTGAGAACTTCTTTGGTCCTGCCAATTACATTGTGACGGCTGTGCACTGCGGGTTTGGCCTGATCTAGAAGATAGAGTAAATTCTGTTCATTCTTCCAGATGTAAAATTCCACTCCCAACAATTAAAAAAAAAAAATCAATCACTCTTTCTTTGAAGCTTTTCCCAAACCAAGTCTTTTACTCATTTAACACTGAATTTTCTCTTTAACAAAGGATTTAGGACCCTTGGACTTGCCTTGTAGTGATCTGTGTATACGTTTGCCATCACCCCCACTTGAGGATAAGGTTTGTAGTCAGGGATTCTGGATGATTCATCTCCTATCCCAAGGACCAGTCTGTCATTGGAACTGTGTATTAATTGCTTGTTAACTTAAGTGTTTTCCGAAGCCAGATGGCCATGCTAAAGGAGGGGTGTAAAACATGCTAATGAACCATAACAAGAGCCTGCACAGAATTCCCTTGGTTCCTGGAACATAAGGTGTGGGCTTCGTTGGTTTTCCTGGGCAAGAGGCCCAGAAAATGAATGGGTATTACTGAAATCAGAGATGTGAAAACGCTGAGTCATTGCCCACATTTCTTGTTCTCCCAGGGAAGTAAGCTCCATGCTGGCTCCTGTCTGCATCGCTGCCCCTGTGGACTATTCTCCTCTAGAGCTCAGATCACCTTCTCTTCCAGGAAGTGTCCAGTCTGGCCTCCAAGGGCAACCATCTAGTTTACATTTTGGCTCCATCATGCACTAGCTGTAGCCTTGAGCAAGTTATTGAACTTCTCTTGGCTTGAGTTTCCCCCTCCAAAAGCATGGGAATAGTAATAGCCCTGGTTTTACATGGCTGCAGTATGATTCAGTGGTGTGTGCTCCCTGACTGTTCGTCATGAGAAGCATCGTGATCTCTCTCCTCTCTGAACTCCTCTATCATTACACACTGGAAGTTAATTTTTCTATTTTTTTTTTTTTTAATATAGTAGTGTTACTTGGCTCCCAATCATTTTTCTAGTGGTCTCACCTATCCAGAACACTCTTGAGAACCAAGAGGCATACAAATAGACGACAGTACCACCAACACCATCGTCAAGATAACTGTGCACCCAAATCAATGTCACAGAAACCCTGCACCAGAAATGAATGAGCTGTACTCATGAATCCTCTTATACCCACACTCATAGTGTATGTGTGGTTAGAACAGTGGTCGGCAAACTCATTAGTCAACAGAGTGGCAAACCGCGGCTCCCGAGCCACAGTTTGCCAACCACTAGGTTAGAACAAGCTGCATCATCTGCTTTCCTGGCCCGCTTGCAGCATAAACCAGGACCACTGGTGGAGGGAGAAATAGTCCTCCATACGGAATATCTAAGAGTGTGGTGAAATCATGCCCATCACCTTGACTCTGAGAAGGAAGGCAAGAACATGTTGACAAATTTCAGAAAGATTACAATGAACATATTAATAGTTTTAAAATTAAGCTTACAAAATGGTGCCTTCTCCAATGACAGCGGGTAAATGAGACCTTGGCATGCTCAATCTTTTCTTCCCCATATGTCACAGGCTTTTGTTAAAGAGTTTTGTGTTTCTTCTGCATCCTCATAACTACTCCTAAGTCAATACTGACTCTCTTGAGAAATCCATTAATTGTTGGAAAATGGCTTGTATTTATTATTATTTTTAATATATTTTTATCGATTTCAGAGAGGAAGGGAGAGGGAGATAGAAGCATCAATGATGAGAGAGAATCATTGATTGGCTGCCTCCTGCACACCCCCTACTGAGAGAGAAAGAGAGAGAGAGAGAGAGAGAGAGAGAGAGAGAGAGAGAGAGAGAGAGTGAGAGACATCCATGATGAGAGAGAATCATGGACCAGCTGCCTCCTACAGGCCCCACACTGGGGATCGATCCCACAACCCAGGCATGTGCCCTGACCGGGAACTGAATCCTGATCTCCTGATTCGTAGTCGACACTCAACTGCCAAGCCATGCAGGCTGGGCCCACAGCTTGGTTTTAAGTTAATCAGATTTTACCCTGTCCCCCCCCCCCCCAAAAAAAAAAATGCTATCAGAATCATTGATGTGAATATTTTATTTGGAATCACTATCAAAATAGAATAATGCTTTGACCGAGGCAGATGTGACCTGTTCCCCTCTTGGAAGTTTAAAACTCTAGAGCAGCACTGTTTTCTGGAACTTTCCACGAGGATGGACATAATCTGTGCCACATAACGCTGTAGCCACCTGCCACGTAGGGCTACTGAACACTTCAAAGGTGGCTAGTGCAACTAAGAAACTAAATTTCAACTTTTACCCAATGTTAGTTAGTTTAAATGTAAAAAGCCACATGTGGCTAGTGGCTGCCAACTTAGGCAGGCCAGCCCCAGAGTTCAACCTGTGAGTGCAAAGTTCACTTAAATCTTTCGTTTTCCAGAACCATCTAGCCCGAGTTGATACTGAGAATGAATGGCTCTGAGATCCTGCCCAATCCTTGGTCATTAGGTAAAGATTTCATTTACAGAAAATGAGCTGAATTTGAATGTCTCTTCTATATGCTGAATGCCTTTTCAAACCTAAATCCAAATACAAAGTGGGGGTTGGGACACCTGCTTCTCAGAGCTGGTTTTAGATTCTCGGTTCTGCCACCAGCAAGTGTGAAACTGGGAGCCATAAAGGAGTAGACTGTTAAACGTTCGAGGCCTTCATTTCCTCCCATGCAGAATCACAGCTGGTAAATACACAGGGTGGGCAAAGTATGTTTACAGTAGGAGTATGCCAAACTCCCAGTTGAGTTTATTCTTGTCTCTTTATAAACAATTGTACTCTTTTCTATACGAATCGTAAACCTACTTTTTTGCCCACCCTGTCTTTTCTGAAGCCCCTGTAGCTCTACAATGCCCAGGCTGGTTAGTCCTTTGGCTCTCTGCCTTTGTTTTCCTATGAAAAAAGATTGGATTCTATGGCTGTCCAGGATCAACTAATGAATGCATCGATTAGCTAAGACCTTCCAAACTTAGAAGTGCTAAGTAGTTTCTCTTACTAGTTAGAGAGCAAGCAGGTCTTTGCAGGATATGACCTAAAACTGCTTTAACTTCTAAGATAGTTACTGGGTCTTTAAAAAAAAAAAGTGAGATAATTATTGAATTCAAGAGGCCATTCTGTCTCAGCATTCTGTGTTTTTTTTTTCTTTATTGTTTCTTTCTGTGTGTGTGTTGTGTGTGTGAGTGTGTGTGTGTGTGAGTGTGCGTGTTGTGAGTGTGCGTATGTGTGTTGTATGTGTGAGTGTGTGTGTGTGAGTGTTGTGAATGTGTGTGTGAGTGTGTGTGTGTGTGTGTGAGTGTGTGTGTGTGTGAGTGTGAGTGTTGTGAGTGCGTATGTGTGTTGTATGTGTGAGTGTGTGTGTGTGTGTGTTGTGAATGTGTGTGTGAGTGTGTGTGTGTGTGAGTGTGAGTGTTGTGAGTGCGTATGTGTGTTGTATGTGTGAGTGTGTGAGTGTGTGTGTTGTGAATGTGTGTGTGAGTGTGTGTGTGTGTGTGTGTGTGTGTGAGTGTGTGTGTGTGAGTGTGAGTGTTGTGAGTGTGTGTGTGTGAGTGTTGTGAATGTGTGTGTGAGTGTGTGTGTGTGTGTTGTGTGTGTGAGTGTGTGTGTGTGTGAGTGTGAGTGTTGTGAGTGCGTATGTGTGTTGTATGTGTGAGTGTGTGTGTGTGAGTGTTGTGAATGTGTGTGTGAGTGTGTGTGTGTGTGTGTGTGTGAGTGTGTGTGTGTGTGAGTGTGAGTGTTGTGAGTGCGTATGTGTGTTGTATGTGTGAGTGTGTGTGTGTGTGTGTTGTGAATGTGTGTGTGAGTGTGTGTGTGTGTGTGTGTGTTGCAGTTTGTCTCGGCATTCTGGACTACAGGCATGATGAGTAGCAGGAGGTGTTGGGAGGGCTAAATGATATCGCATCTCTCTTGGGAATCTTGCCTTCCCGGAATGAGTATTTCCAACAGCATGTTCCCTAACAAAGAAGAGATTGTGTGGACTGTGATCTCACAGGGCACACAGCACATTCTCAGTGAGGGAATTGCCCAATCTCTGTCTGTGCTGCTTGGAACAAAGTCTGAGATAAGGCCTTCTATTTTCACTGTGTTCGTAGTCTTTCTCCCACTTGGCCCTCCCTCTTCACTTCCCTGATGCAATTGCTAGCGAGGGCATAGTGAGTCCCATGGTGAAGAGGCAGATGTGAGAATTCAGAGGTGTGCTGACTTGCCTCGCATCACACAGTCCAGTCCGGAGTCCGGGTCCTATCCTCACCCCTTGGGTGGGTCCCACATGTTACTCTCCAGTTCTCTTCTGATGACCCTTTGTAATGGCTGGGCTCCTCTTCAGTGTCCTCTCCAGTTCAGACTTTCCCAGTTCAAAAGGTACAACATCTTGGTATTTTAAGGTGCATGGACAGTCTATGGCGTGGAATTTCTCAGAATTTGGGATCCGGCCTACGGTGAGTTTTACTTTCTAAAACAAAAGCAAGAAAATAATTAAATGATTAAAGATTATCCTCAGGACTGTTTGTTCTCGGTATGTCCTCATTCACACCCTTCGAAGCAGGTTTTGAAGAAAAAAAATCCTGTGATGAACTACAATCAGAGGAGGACAGGAGCCTCTTATCTCCAGGTGGAAGGCGGAGTTTTATTGTCTGGCATCCAAGGTCTGGAGCCTTTAGGGCAGATTCTAAATGGCATTAATGGTGCCCAACGGGCCCAGTTGTGCCAAGAATTAAAAAGCCTCTGGATGCTGAAGAACAGAAGTGACATCACCAGACAGAACAAGCCTCTGACAAAATAGGGAGAAAATTGAAGTTTGATGTGTCTCCTGCAAAATCTAGCATCTCCTCCCCTTCCATTGAAAATCTCACATTTTTTCCTCTCACTGTCTTTATCCAGCTCCACCCCACCTCCCAGCTGAGTCTGCTCAAGGAAGAAGGGGTAATCTGCTTTATTCAGATGCTTAAAATAGGGGCCCCTGGCTGCCCTGCCTTTGCCTCCACATCTCCCCTCTTCCAACATTCCTTTTCCTTCCAGAGGCCAGATCTTTGAATTTTTAAAAAGGACTGGATATCCATTTTCACATGGAGAAATTAGCCAGGAATGGTAAGGGTGGGGAAGGGAGGTGTTTTGTTTGTTTTTTTTTTTTGGTCATCCAAATAATCAGGCTGCTGAGCACCCCAGATTTCTCAGAAGCATCTGGTTGCCCCTTTCTCCCTCCTCCCCCCCCAGAAAAAGGGGTCAGGCAGATGGAGCACAGGAGGAATGCTGCTGCTGTCTCCTCCCAGGCAGGGGGCTCCACAATCCAGAAAGGCAGCCTTCATATCTGCTTACGGTGCCCAGGCAAGCATCCTTTCCTTGGGCCTACTTCCAGGCCAAACTCTTCTTGGAGCTGGTGGGTCAGAGTATGCTATTGGTAAGAAGATGCTATTGAACCCTAGGCCCCAGCATGGGTGTCTGGAAGAGGAAATATTGGTACCCGATTGTTGGATTGGGCCCCTGAAAGTTACCTTTTTTCCACCACACAAATGCCAACCCTAGTCTTTGAAACTCAAGCCCAACACCTCCTTCTCTAAGACGCCTTTCTGACCTCCCTCAAACAGATTTACTCCATTCTCCCTTTTCACTGCCATGGCTCTCGTTCATCTCAAGGCACACACTGGATAGTAGCTAGCACATAAGATGCCTGATTTATCACTAATCTGTGAGCTCCTTAAGCTCAGGCTGAGGCCTCTTTTGTAGCTCGAGGACCTACAGCCAGCATACAGTAGATGTTCAATAAATAGTCAGTGAGCAAATGAATGAATAAATGAACAAATGAGTCCTTGCTCTCCCACTAACTAGTTATGCATCTTAGACAACTCACACAATCTTACTGGTTTCCCATTTAGATAATAGAAGTGGTACAATCTGTCTAGCCAACAAGGTTATTATGTGATAGGACACATGTAATTATAAACTCTTAGAGATGGAGGAAATTTTAGAGATCATCCTGTACAATGGTTTAAAAAAAATAGTTTCTTCAAGGAGAGCTAACAGGAAAGTTCAACATATAAAAAAGATAACTGGTAAATGTACACTGATCTGGTTGAAGGTCTATACTGTACCCTTCTTCTCCTCTCCTCTCCTCTCCTCTCCTCTCCTCTCCTCTCCTCTCCTCTCCTCTCCTCTCCTCTCCTCTCCTCTCCTCTCCTCTCCTCTCCTCTCCTCTCCTCTCCTCTCCTCTCCTCTCCTCTCCTCTCCTCTCCTCTCCTCTCCTCTCCTCTCCTCATCTCCTCTCCTTTCCTTCTCATCTCCTCTCCTGTCATTTTCAGGGGCCAAGAAGCACAGTTGAAAACCAACTCTCTCACGTTAGAGGGATGAAACTGATGCCCAGATAACGAAGTGTTTCCCAAGGTCACGTGGCTCATCAGAAATAAAAATGGACAAGGGAAGGCATGAACAACATGGAGACTATACTAATAGGCAGAACTATGTCTGAGCACTAAATAGGTACCATTCACTGTTGTAAGCACATTAGATATATTATTTCATTTAATTCACCAATAACTAATATTATAACTACATTAGAGAAAATTGAGGCAAAAAAAAATTGATTAAAGGATGGGATGCAAGCCCTGAGCCAGTTTGGTTCCAATGCAAGCTCTTTATGCCGCATCATGTGTCTGAAGTCTTGACCAGCCATTCAGTCTCCTAGTCCAGTGCTCTTCCTCAAATTACTTCACATGAAAGGGCCCTATTTAACCTTCTGTTATTTGCATATATTACAGGAAGTGTTATTTACACTCCTAGTCTCTTATTTACACATGGTGGCTGAGGATTGAAGAGTCTTATTTGTAGTCAGAGTACAGTTCACACTCAGTCTAAGACCTTGACCTTGTTCCTTCTGGCACTGACTTGCCCAGGGCAGGGCCGGTCAGCAGGACTCACCTCCTTCTGGATGGACCGGCTGAGAAACAAGGAGACCTCGTCCAGGCTGTGGGGCTTTAGGTCATTCACGGCCAAAAGGTGGTCTCCATGAAAAAATAAGCACCCCAGGCGTGGGGGTCCCTTCCACGCAGCCACACTGCAAGGGGAATACAGCATCGGACACAAGCATGAGACCACACTCACTGGCAGGACACAGATGGGTCCCTCTGTCTAATCTATCCCATCCTTACTACCACTAGTTTCGTTAGCTATGTTGCACCAGATCTGAAGTAGTTGAACTCCTTCTTCTGTTTCCTCTTTCCCCACTGTAGGAGTCTTACCCGCCCCCCCCCCAAAGTCTCTACAACACCCTCCATTGGTCCACTTCCCTTACTCTAATTAATCGCTCCTCTCCCACCCATGGGTTTCTATTGCGCTGTGTGAGCACTCACTTATTGTATATTAAAATAAATGTGTTTTATATGTACTTGTTTATGTGGCTGTTTTTTTCACCAGAAGTATGGCACTAACACCTTTTAAAAAAATTGTTTATAACCCCATAACTCCAAGTAAACAAAAAGTGCTCAGTAAGTACATATTCACTGAAAGTGAGCACATAATGATTACACTATGAACACCTAATAAACAAATACTGTAAACAAATTAATGAATGAGAAATCCCAGGCACAGAGAGGTCCACTGTTTTAATCAGATATTTATTGAGCCTTGGGTTGTGGGCAATGGGGGGAAAGGCAAGTCTGAGGTTCCTGCCCCCTTATAGAACGTGTAAGGCAATTGGTGTGAAACATCTTATTTACATTGAAGGTCTTTCTCCCATTGTAGAAATATAGTCTCCCATCAGAACGAATTACAAATTCTCTTAAGAGACTTAACATCAAATGAACTGTGATTATTTCAAGAAAACTCTGTCACAGGGTCTGTTGTATCTGTCCTTGACCAGCAGGTTTTCAGCTGGTGTCTAGAAGTCTAGACCCTGATATGTCTTTTCCTTTTAGACTTTAGATTCTTGTCGGCCTCACTAACTTTGTTCATTCACAAATACTCATTGCTCATTCATTGGGATAATTTCCTTAGGCCTATGTATTCCATCCCACTTTTCCTCACCTTGAAAAAAGTTAGAAATTTGCTCCTTCCTGGACTTTTGGGTCCTAAACCCACCCATCTCCCACTGACCTTCCCACACAATAATATCTTTATTTTAGCATCAATCAAAGACCTGCTACAACAGCAAAAGAACAGTCCAAGCTCTCCAGGCAGTTTTGCTACCTACAGTGTTTCAAAGTATGAGTGTTGTCTTCATATCTCCCAACCGAGTTTGTCATCAATAACCCTCTGATCTCTGACTCACCATATCAGACCTGCGGCTTCTGTGAGATCCAGGTAATTGGTGACATCAAGAGGAGAAAGGAACACATTCAGTTTCTCCACGTGGCTTTCGTCAGGAATGTTACTATGAGATAAAACATTGGTAAAAGTCAAATCAGGCAACTACTGTATCCCTGGATCTGAACGGTACTTTCTGGATAAACTCTAGCCTCCTACATAGGAGATGGCCTTGTCCAGCTAAAGATTGTCCAACATATTTAGAGAAGAATATGAATTGAGTTACTGAAAAGTACCCATAGATGCCCTCCTCCACTCCTCTTGGGATGTGGTGGTGGATGGGAGACGATGAGAAGGGAGAAAAAATGGGCTAAATTGATTATATAATTGTCCATAGCAGGTCAGTTTGCATATTTCTCCACTAGGAACGAAGAAGACACTGAAAGAGTTAAAACTGAGAACAATCTCATCAAATGCCCTTGGCATTACCACACCTAAATGTTCCCTTCTTTTTTCTAGTATAGAATCAAACCTTTTGTGATTTGCATGACCAACATTTTAACAGTAAAAGCTGGGTGATAGGCCTCCCACATCAGTGTGATCCAGGGCTTGAGAGGCTAGCCAACGAAGAATTTGACAAAATATTTGAAAATGCCACCCACCACCCAGGGGGCTCAGCGTCCAGCCCTTTTATACCTTGGCCACCACATCAGTGACAAGGGGAAGCAGGTCAGATTCTTGGCTGACTTTGAGATATTTTAGGAATTTCTTTAAAATTTGAATTCTAAGTAAGAAAGGAAGGCTGCCTTGCTCTAAGGGCCCACAAAGTTTGAGAAATTAGAACCTTACTTGATTAAAATGGACAATTGCACAACAGTTAGTGGGGTCGACCCCTTTTTGCCATTCATGGTCTGGGCTTCCGTTTTGGCAGGTGGAAGGCAAGAGTCACTCCTGGAACCTTGTTCTTGTAGATGAAGCCCCCTGAGCAGGGTCTCTGGAAGGGCCTGGAATTCCTCTTTGTTATTAGCAGACTCATCGGCTGTCTCTTTGAACAAACTAGAGGATAAGAAGTGAACACAAACCCTTTTTTAGCATATCTATTGACAACTCCCACATTTATGCACCTCACAGTCGTGTGAACATTAACAAGATGTTGAAGTATATCCAACCATCCACATCACAGTCACAGAATCAAATCCAACAAACTCTCCATCTAAAAGTGGATATGGAGTTAAAATAACCCTCCACCTTGAGAGGTTTGGGAGATAGAAGTGAGAGTGTGAGAGATAGAAATGCAAACTAGAAAATCACTTCCTCAGGAGACAGAAAAAGTGCCGAGGATGTCATTAAAGGCTTTCTGTGGGGAGAGAAGCCAATTCTCACTTTATCCTGTTTTGAAATCACTGAATGTGTAGAATTTGGTCGATGGTAATACCTTTGTATTAACATTGCAATAGTGATTTTCTGTAACCATACATTAGCCCAAATCAATTTTTAAAATGTGGGAGTTTTACTTACCAGGATTTCATTGACATGTAATGGCGCTCAAGTCTTTCAGAGACCTGATCTGGATTACCACATTCAATGGGTTCACCAGATTCACTGGCAGCAATGATATTATCCAACTATAGACAAGAGGAATAAATGTAAGGATGCAAGTCTACCAATAAGCCAGGTGTCCATGATGGTTCTAGGCCCTAAACTAGGAAATGCATCCGCCATTGGATGCACAGCAGTGCTCGTTCTGAGGGATTGATCCAGGAAAGCGCTGACAGACTCAGAGTCCATTTCTTCTCTGGGTCCCCATGCTCCTGTCCAAAGTGTTTTATTGTGACTAAATTGCTGTTGATTTTTCTCTTTCCTTGGCAGGCACTTAATGACATGAATTCTTTCCCCCAACCAGTGACACTGTGAAATCATGTCACCTGGCTGGGCCAAAGACTCTGATACAGAGCTGGCCTCAGGCTACTATAATGAGGGTGATCCAAGTTGCTTCAAAAGTCAATAAAGAGTTTTACAGACCCTAGAGAGCCTCTCAACAAATCCTTGAGAACTAAAGCATTCATTGGGGGTAATGGTTTCTCAAAACCCTTAGGGCTTTCTATTGCCTACCTAAAAATTTAAGCATCAACTCATAATTGGAAGAGTTCATTCCAGTCAAGCCAGTCTTCTCACTACATATCTACCAATGCTCTTTTAGTACCCATGATCATGCTGTTTCCTTTACCAGGAATGCCCATTTTCTCTTCTGCCAAAAGAAGTGTGTTCAGGCCTGGCTGAGGTCCCATGGCCCCTCCTGACCACCTCAGTCACTACTAATCTCTCCCTTTTCCGAAATTCTATTGCACAGTTTTGTACTTAATTGTTTAAATGGTCTTTTAGCTTCCACTTCTTGGTATATATCCAAAGAACCCCAAAACACTAATTCAAAAGAATAAATGTACCCCTATGTTCATCGCAGCATTCTTTATAATAGCCAAGATAGCAAAGCAATACAAGTGCCTGCCCATCACCCACCTCAATTATAGCTTCAGGGTCAATAGTACTAGAAGATAATTCAGGTCCTGCCACTGCCCTCCTAAGAGGCCACCACAGCCTCTGTGCTGTCTGCAGAATGAAGTCAACTCCCCATTCTGGCCTGGCTCATTTTTTCCTGTCATATTCCCTACTATGCCATTCACTCTAAGTTACAGCCCAACTGAACTATTTACTGTGTACCTATCAAGTGGATTTTTGTCACTGAAGCCTTCCCTGACTCCAGGGGAGAGAGAAAGTATCTGCTTTTTCTATTGGTTCCAGAGCTTGTTGACCATGCCTCTTAGGCAGCACTGTCATGTGTGATAACTGGAAGGGCTGGGAGCTCTGAGGGCAGAGTCATGTAAAAGGCACTCAGTAGGGGCTTCTAGTAGATCAACAGACTGGTTGATACACACCAAATCATTTATCACCCAAGGTCCTGTGTTCATGTTATTGTTTCTGCCCAGAATGCAGAAAGTCTCCCCAAGTCAACTCCCAAGTCCAAATTTTGCCTATCAAGTGAAGTCATATATCATCTCCCTGCAATGTTCCCTGGTTTTCTGTCTGGAATTCAGTCCCCTTGCCTCCCACCCCTGGTGCACTCTGGGCATTTTGTAAACATCTTTCTTCAGCCCTTTCGTTTTGTGTGGTGGTTGGTTCCTATTCAGCTGGTTAAATAGGAACATTGAGCACATCACCCGTGTCTGATTAGCTGATTTGGTGTTTTACTCAACCAGCCTAGTGCCTCAGGAACAGTGCAGGGGCTCAGGCAAATATTTGTAGAAGGGATAAATGATTAATAAATGGAAAGGGTTACCTCCAAAAGAATACTCCGAGGACTAATATAATGACTCTCTTCTTCCGTATCTTGAGTGGTCTCTGGCGAGAAATCATGTAGTAGATGAGCTTGTCTGAGTCCTGGAGAACTTGTTTCCATTAAATGCTGGACAAAGAGATGAAGACAGAATGAATGTGTTGCTTCTTCTTTGTAAGAGACAGAATTAAAGCACAAGCTTTCTGGGAAATCCATAGAAATGAATTGGGTTGAGAAGACCAGAGTGTCTTCTAAAGTTACATCCAGAATTTTACACAACCTGGAGCTGCCTCTTGAGTCTGGGTCACCCCTGACAATGTGAACACATGAGCTCAACTTTCAGGCTTTTCTCTACCATTGGGATCTGTAATTCAAAACAAGTGGTTCTCTCAGTGGGTGGCATCCTAAGTCACCAAGCTCTGCCAAAGTCCTCCACCCCCATCTTTTTTTTCTAGTTTTCACTTAAGGCATCTGAGAAGATAATTATCAGTCCAGAGTTAAAACATTGCAAATTTCCTCTACTTGCTCAATAGTTCTCCTTTGTGTTCTGTTCACATACTGCTATTGTTTTCATAGCAATGCAATGTGGTAGTGCTGGTCATGTGACAGTATGAATTACAGGCTTCAGGGTGATCTAGGATCAACCAATTACTGTCTTCCCTCCCCAATACATACAAGAAACTCTACTAAAGTAGCTGCTTTGCATGGCAAGGAAATAGTTGGTACAATTCAATTCTTCCAAGAGCAATGCCTTAGAACAGAGGTTTTTAAAAAGACCTGGGATGTTCTCCAGGCAGTCCTTGAAGGGAAGTGATTAAAAAAAAACCATAGATGTATTGAATTTGTGTCCATTTATCTAGCTCCAAGGTCATGAAGCCAGATCATGCTGAGCTGGGGATGAAGAAGGGATCTAATTTAATTTCAGCACCAACAATAGCAACAACAACAATAAATCCAAGCAATGCAGATGGTATTCTTAGCTGGAGCTGACTAAAAACCACTGGACTGAATACATAGTGTGAAAAGGCAAGATGACCAATAACATTATCTTTGGGGAGAAGGGGCAGCATGAGTGAAAAGCAAGAGGCATTTACTGAAAACAGTTAGTCTTCCCAACGCTGTTTCCTATCACCTTCCCTACAAACACCAACTGAGGTTTTGGTTTGGTGAGCTTGATAAGCCACAAAAAGCTTTTAAAATAGTTGGAGAGCTTCCAGCTAGATAAAAACAGGAGGCTATGCCATATTAAGACGTCTGGTACCCAGGGAGAAGGGGAAGTCCGTGGTTACATCTCTAAGGGACATAATAGTATTTGTGGCAGAAGATGAAAACACTCAACACATTCTTTAAATAATATCCAAAGCTGGGAAGACCACAAATGCAAGACACAAATGAGAGGATGATTACAAATCACTTCCAGGGGACAGATGTATTTTTTTCTTCAACTAAATATCATTAGAAATTAAGATGAAATCATACACACACACACACACACACACACACACACACACAAACACACACACAAACACACACACACAGAAGCAAGACTGATCTAGGAAAATGAAGGAAATTAATAAAAATTCTAATTTTGCTTGGAGAAGCACAGATGATATGGCAGAAAATCAAGTGGTGTTTTGGCAAATTTTTTGCAGAGATAATCTGTGCCCTCTGTGTGAAAGGAAGGAAAAGGTTAATAATCTGCTTTTGGTTTAGCTAGGGGAGGTGAAGGAGTTGGAAGGTGGGGGGAACGGGGGGTGGGGGGAAGAGGAGGTTATGGGGAGTAGCTTCTTCCAATATGCCCAGATGTGTATTGAGGAGCATCCAAAATGAATGAATCCATTTAGAGGTAGGCAGGGCAAGTAGTAAAGCTTATCTATATTATAGCCAACAGACTATATATAGGATAAATCCTGGGGATAAGAATCGTTCTTATGGTGAGTTAGGAAGGGGTCAAATCCATTGGAGAGACCCTTGAGGCATCAGCTGTCTCCCACACATGGGATCCTAGAGAGGTGAGGCGAGGCTGGTTACCAGGTCTGGAAGAGTATTTCTGGACGTGGTGGAGCCGATGGTCTCCGATGTGCCGGAATAACCCAGGAGAGGGCTGGGGTCCGAAGAGGGCCTTTTAGCAGCCAATGAGAGTGTCTCCTGCTTATGAAAAAAGATACCGGAATCAGGGCATGATGGATTCCTTGTCTGGAATGAGGCAATAGCCTCGTCCTTGGGCTCCCTGCCTCTGGTCTTTCATCACTAACATTTATTCCGTTGGCCAGCTTTCTCTCACTAAGACATGCGGTGATCTTGTCTCACTCCTGTTTCCAAATCTTCAAGGACTCTCAGAATGGCTGTCGACACTCCCCAAACTTCCCTCAACCTGTCTTTTCAACCTTATGGTGCTCTGCACCCCCCTTTGTTCCAATAATTTGAGTCAACTTGTAGAAACACCATGCTTTCCCTTCTGCCTTGGCTTCAGCTTTTGCTGGAAAGCAGAGAACAACCTGAAAACATGTTAAGACAATACCAGGAGACCACAGTCTCATGAAAAAAGGTCTGCCCATGCCGAAACCGGTTTGGCTCAGTGGTAGAGCGTCGGTCTGCGGACTGAAAGGTCCCAGGTTCGATTCCAGTCAAGCGCATGTACATTGGCTGCGGGCACATCCCCAATAGGGGATGTACAGGAGGCAGCTGGTCGATGTTTCTCTCTCATTGACGTTTCTGGCTCTCTATCTCTCTGCTTTCCTCTCTGTAAAAAATCTATAAAATATATTAAAAAAAAAAAAAAAAAAAAAAGGTCTGCCCACCAAAAGGACCTGTGCAAATTATCAAAGGTTCTTAGGAAGGCAACAAAAATACTTCAAGTCACTAGCCCTTACATTAGGGAGACATCGTATTGAAAATGCAAAGGAAAGGAAAAGCATTCTATAGAAACCACCCTAGACTTAGTCATTCTAAAGGGAGCTGTTCTGTACTTCGAATAACAATGAGGGAAAATACTGTTGTTCCGGCGACTATTAAAAATGCCACAGTTAATTTTCACTCCTCCCACCTCCATCATGGAAATCTGAAGTGTCTCTATTTTAGCACAAAACACAAAAGTATTTTTCCCCCGCTGGTAATCATAAACATCACAAGGATGTACATTCTCTCACTTATTTATTCCTTGTATTAATGCCAGTTGCCAAGGAGGAGCGGGGGGGGGGGGGGGGGGGTGGGGGGGGGTGGGGGGGGGGAGGAGGAAAGCTCCCATTGTCTCCTGAGAAGGAGGTTGTGCTCAGGTGCCCTGACATTCTGTGAGCCACAATCACCTCTGCATTCTGGCCTGCTGCTTTCACATCCCGGCTGCATGATGACATGAACGAGACCCAGTCTTTAATCTTCTCCCTGTGGATAGGAATACACTTGCAGCTGGCATGTGGCAACAATCGCGCCTTCGCTCCTTGTGAACCAGAGGAGGATTCTTTTATTACGGTTGGAACAGGCAGTGGGAGCAGGTAGTGGGGAAATAAGGACTTTTTTTTCTAAGGAGCTTGATTGACCCCCTGGCTCCTTACCTCCTCCACACTCACACACCCTCAGGCCGCCTCTGCGAGGAAAGCTCGGAGAAATGGGAGGCAAAGGAGAAAGGGACAGTAGTAATCACAGGGTTCGGAGCTGTAGTGCTGACACCGATTTCTTTTGTGTTCTAAGCAGGCTCTGTACCTGTCGGTACCATTTTTTGGTATGTAGCCAGCCAGGTGGGCCTCCTTTGATATAATGTGTGTGTTTATGAAGAATGTGCTTGAAAAGTTCGTATAAATCCCATTTTCTTTTCAGTTGATGCTCAGGACAATGTAGAAGAAAGCTTTTTGCCTCTGGAGTGGATCTGAGACAGATGAAGGCTGTTCCCTCTTTGGCTTTAGCGTTCGCTGCCCCCCTCTGCATGGCTTTCTCCTCCAACCTTGGCCTCCCCATAAGCAGATAATCATCTCCAAAGAGCCCACAAGGCACCTTCTTAAAACTGAGGACTCCTTCAGGGATGAGCCCAGCCCTCCACCCCAATACATGTAACTTGTACAGATGTCTGTGAATTGGCTTCTTTTACATGGGATGTATCTGGGGTGATGGTGACTGTTAGGGGTTGCATCTGGCTTGCATGTGGAGTGATGCATCTGTGGTGATGATGATGGTGATTGTTATGGGTTGAATTGTGTGTTGTTCCCCCCACCCCCATGCATATATTGAGGTTCCAATCCCCAGGACCTCAGAATATGACCCTGTTTAGAAATCGGGTAAGGCTTTTGCAGATGTAATTAGTTAAGATGAGGTCATACTGAAGTAGGGCAGTATGACCGGTGTCATAATAAAAAGGGGAACTGAACACTGAGACATGCACACAGGGAGGATGCCACATGAAGCCGGAAGTTACGCTCCCATGAGCCAGGGACATACCAGGAGGCCTGGAACAGGTCTTCCCTGGGGACTTCAGAGTGATCATGGTTGGAGGCCCCTTGATTTGGGACTCAGCCTCCAGAACAGTGGAAATACACGCTTCCATTGTTCTGAGCCCCCTCCCCGACCCTCAGTGTGTGTGCCTGGTTATGGCAGCCCTTAGAAAGGAATACTGTGACTTTTTAAGGGATTTTAACCAATACTGCAATACTGAAGACTGCCCAGATGGTGTGGAAGGGTGTGGAAGTGGGTCTGTGCTAAGTATGCTTATTGTTCACTGCTTTAAAATGGTTTCATTTGCTTGCTTGTCGTCTGGCAACCGGGTGACACTGTTATCTGATGACTCACCTGTCGCTGCCGATGAGGAAGTACTCTCTGCCAGTGGTCCTGATGGACATCACCTCATCGGGCTGGCACTTAAACATCTTCTGTACGGATCGCATTTTTTCATGGCTACTTATGCCAACGTCTACACTGGAGTTTCTGTTCGACATAGACAAAAAGGATCAAACAGATACACACACAACATTAGAAAGAACACCGACTCCTTGTTTTATGTTAGGATTCAAATGGAGTCAAACTTGAGGTTTGCTTGTTCAATGTTTTGAAAATTACCTAATCATGTTAGAAAATAAGTTTAGATCTGGGACATCAGATACTTGGTTCAGCATAAAACGTAATTCAAACATTCCCATTTTGCTTGGAACCTTGATTCCACAATTATCATGGTTTCTAAATTTTTGGTACATAGTTCCTTAAAGATAAAAGATTCAACCTCAACATTTTTTAAAAACCTATCCGGGCTTTATGGAATGGTGATTTCATCTGCTCTCTCTCACACCTAAATTAAGCGCATCAATGGCTTTTGTAACTAAATACTAATGAATAATTTACCAACTAAACTATTCAATATGAAATAATTATTTAGCTATCTCTACCCACATGTTTCCCCGTTTGGCTTCTTTTCGGCAACAAATATTATGCTCCTTTTTCAAATTGATACTTTTTTAGAGAGAGGAGGGGAGAGAGAGAAACATCGATGTGGGACCAAACACGATGGACTGCCTCTTGCAGGGGCCTCGAGCCCGCAGCCCAGGCATGTGCCCTGACTACTAATCCTTTGGTGCAGGCCTTGCTTCTTTCAATAATGACTTCATTTTCAGTTTGTGTGCAACCGATGTTAAAAACTTCTGCTCAATTGGATACATACCCATCGATTTGAATGGAACCTCGGTGATGGTGGTCTTTGTAATAGGAAAGACTAAAGCCCTTCTCTCCACTCCTTGACAGGACAAAAAACCTCTTTTTCCAAGAGGGCTGAAAAGTGAAAACATTTTGCATCTCGGTTAAACCTCGGAGGAAGAGGAAGCATTGAAAACTTGCTCAGGAGGTTGGTGGGAGGCCTGTTAAAACCCGAGCAAGTACTTACTGCTGAGGAGAAAAGCTGAGGAGGTGGTGATTTAATAAAGTAACCTTGTTTGCAGACTTCATTTTCATAATAATATGTAAATTGTTTGCCTAATAAAAGAAAGTGAACAGAACTCAGTTTGTTCCCAGCGTGTTTCTAAAAAGAACTGCTTTAGTTGGAAAACATTGTTTACTTCTGGAAAAGTCTTCAAATTAGTCCGCTATGGGGGAAAAAAAACGAGGACACCCATCTGTAATAGGCCAGGAAAACAAAGGGGCCAAAGACCAGTGTGTGACTCTTATTCACCCACAGCGGGGACCTTCACTCAGGCACCTGCTTCCAGCTCACACCATTGGGTCCTCCGTTTCTGAGGCTGACTCTCTAGTCTCCCTTCCTGCTGACCCACCAGCAGCAGGAGCAAGATGATCCTGCCTTGCTCTTTGGCTTTGCAAATGAATGTGAGACCACCTGCTATGAAAAATGTGGTGGCAAAGTGGTTACAGGGGTTTCCAAAATATTGTTTCTTCTTTTTTAAAAAAATATTTTTATTTATTTCATAGAGAAAGGGAGAGAGAGAGAGAGATGGAAATATCAATGAAGAGAGAGAATCATTGATTGGCTACCTCTTGCAACCCCCTCCCCCCCAACCCCCACACACTGGGGATCAAGCCCTCAATCTGGGCATGTGCCCTGACCGGGATTCAAACCCCATGACCTTCCTGTTCACAGGTCAGTGCTCAACCACTGAGCCAAGCCAGTCAGGCTTAAGTGTTTCTTTGAAAGTGTTGAAATTATATGCAGTTTTGAGTTTTTTCTATATTTTTCAAACTGTCTACAAGAAATATAAATGACTTTCATTATTTAGAAAACATAACTAAATGTTAAAATTAAAAAAATAATTGTTCAGCACAGCTGATGTGGCTCTGTGGTTGCACATCCACTTATGAACCGGGAGGTCACAGCTTAATTTCTTGTCAGGACACATTCCTGGGTTGCAGGTTTGATCCCTAGTAGGGCTTGCAGGAGGCAGCCAATAAATGATTCTTTCTCATCATTGATGTTTCTGTCTTTCTCTCTCTCTTTTTATCTCTCTGAAATCTATAAAAAATATTTTTTTTAAATAATTTTTCAACAAAATTTGGTTTTGCTTTCATATCCAGACGATAGTTCTAATTTGTTCTTGGTCTGGGGAAAGGCAGCCTTTACTAAAGAATTAAAGCTCTTTTTAAATCCAGTGAAAAAAGAATCTGGGTCAGATAAAGCAGCTGATAGGACCATTTTGCTAGTGGTCAGTGATTCTTGGACAGCTGTCCTCACTCTCCTTCTGCAGCCTCTCCACAAAGTCCCCCCCAAGAAAAGGGAAAGGAAAAAAACCTGAAGGAAAAATATAACAAGTTTCAGCTCCTTTAATAATTGTAGGGCCTTGGACAAATTAAGGAAATCTTCCCCAGTCATTTCTGGGTATAGTTTGTTGCTAGTATCATCTCTAAGCAACAATGGAACATGAAACAAATGGAACAAATTGTCCACAAAAAATCAGAAAATGCCAAGTTTCTTGCTAGAAGAGGTCTTAACAGAGTAATTAACCGAACCCAATGGCCTCTGCTTCATTCCCCAAACCAAGAATCATTGTCCCAGTATGCCACGTGTTATCCCCACTAAAACCATCTTCTGTATCGTGGTTAGGTTGATGGGAATTGTTCCTCATTTTCAATAAAAGGGTTTTTCCTTCTAAGAGTATGCCCCCTGTGTACCTGGACTCTTCCAAGGTTTGGGTTCCATTGTGGCTGGCTGTTCTCACCTGTCAAAAAGAAGAATTAAGAGCTGTTAATCCCCAGACAACAGGATGCTTGATGGATTAGCCACTTGATCATCAAGTATCAGGATGGTGCCCATGCATGTGAATGAGATAGGTTATTTGGCTCCTCCCCCACCCGGGCTGATGGTAGCCATGGCAACAGGACCTTTCCAAGCAGCGCTCACCAAATGTCAGTTCTGTGGAGATGACTGAAGAAGCTGTCTTTCCTGGACGTTGCTCCTGCTCCGACAAGACAGTCCCACCCTAGCTGGCTTGGCTTAGTGGATAGAGCGTCAGCCTGTGAACTAAAGGATACCAGGTTCGAATCTAGTCAAGGGCACATACCCAAGTTGCATGGTCGATCCCCAGTAGGGGGCGTGCAGGAGGCAGCTGATCAATGAGTCTCAACATTGATGTTTCCATCTCTCTCTCCCTCTCCCTTCCTCTCTGTAATCAATAATATATATATATATCCATCTTTGGGGAGAGTATCCCAGGAAGGACAGATAAGAACAGGGCAAGGGCAGGATGCTATGGATCAAACGTTGCTGAGAAAGCATTTCTGGCTAAAAGGAAGCCCAGCATAAGCCCTTTCCATGCCAGGAACTCACTTTCCCCAGCGGGAACCTACAAGCGAGGACCACGGCAGGCTGAAGTTGCCCCAGCCCTGAGTGGCCCGTTCCCAAGGCTGCCTGGCTTTGGGGACAGAGGCTGACATGGGACACTGACCCAGAGAAGAGACTCTTTCCTGGACACTCTGCCAGCAATCCCATGACCGTTATGGGACCTGAGAGAAGGGGAATCCCACAGGGTAAAGGGCTACGGGACAGGTGAGGTCTTTAGAACAGGAAATCATGGATGGCCAATGTTTTACCTTGAATTAATGACTCACACCCTACAAGGAAGCCTGGAACAGGGCAGTGCCAGGACAGTCCCAGGAAAGTGGAAAGAGGCCAAAGGACTTCTCCTTCCTCATTTCTCTTTTTCTTCGGCATGAACTCATTCTTTCCTCCTAAGGCATCAATGACTGACAGTCTTTGTTTTCTAATCCTCACCCGAGGATATTATTTTCCATTGATTTTATTTATTTATTTATTTATTTATTTATTTATTTATTTATTTATTTATTTATTTATTTTTAGAGAATGAAAGGGAGAAAGAAGAGAGAGACATCCACTGGTTACCTTCTGCACAAGCCCTGACTGGGACTGGGGAGCAAACCTGCAACTGAGATATGCGCCCTTGGCTGCAAATCAAACCTGGACCCTTTGGTTCATGAGCCAATGCTCTAACCACTGAGCAACCAGACAAGGCAGCGATGACAGTCTTAAGATTACTTGGGCTGGCTGGTCAGAAGCACGAGAGAGCTATTTGAAGGACAGTGGGGGGTTTTCTGGATGCTGAGCTCACAGCTTCCAGGACCAGAGAACAGTTTTTCTCTGTGGAGGGATTCCCTTCCAGGGGTCGGCAACCTTTAAGACATAAAGAGCCGTTTTCGAAGGAAAAAAAAAACCTCGGAGCCGCAAAACCATTGCGACATAAGTGATACAGCTCCCCACCCCGCCCTGCTATCTGCCCTGCTAGTGTCGACCTGCTGGGGGCCACAGCAAAGGTTCAAAAGAGCCGCATGCGGCTCCGGAGCCGCAGGTTGCCGACCCCTGCGGCCTATACTAACAGTAATGATCACATGAACAAAAAATCCAACAGCAAGGGAAATAACCACCAAGACCTTTCTGGGGTATCTTAAAGCATCTGTCAAAGAATTGTTGCCTTTGGCCCCGGCCTGGTATAAGGGTAATGTGCAATGAGCTGGAATGCCAAGAAAGGCACCAGGTTCCCGAGGCCAAGCCCTCCAATCCCTGGAAGAGCAATTCTGTATGAGAAAGAACAGTATACCATACCTGTGTTTGTCCAACCCCCCCAAATCATAGACAGTTAAAAAATTTACCCAAGATTTTGCATCTAATCCACTAGGTTCTTTCCAATTTTAGGGATTTCACTGCCTAAGCAGAATTGGGACCAGTGGTTTTCAGCCCTTCACCCTTCCTTCCATCCATCTATGTGGAACTTGGCCAACTCTCCCTCTGGACATTTAGCATAGTGAGTGTTGGAGTTCAGAGATCAGACGACAGGACTGAGCAGGAGTGATTAGCTGAGGGCGAGATATTTTCAAGCAGTGTGCTTACAGCAAGCTCTTGGTTTAAAAAGCCAATCATCTGTTTTTTTGGGTTTTTTTTTTTCTTGATCAAGCAATGATTCGTAGAGCCTTTATAAATTAGAAATGTTGCATACACTGTTGCTTTGGAGTCTCAGAACTCATCCTAGAAGGTAGCCCCTTTTACAAATGAAGACCTGCCCTTGACAGAAGAGCCAGGTCGTAGGCTCCCAGCAGAGCCCTACACCGATGCTCACTCAGACACTCCCGCCAGCATTCCTCCCCCTGCACACTGTGGATGCAAGAGAGCTTCCAAGGACATTTCCAGTCCAGTGTGGGGACCCCTCCCTCTTTCCTCCACCCACCACAAAAGGAGAAGGCAGATGAGGCAGTAGGGTGTGCTGGGTTAGAGTGCTAACTCTGGAACCTGGATTTAAATGCATCTCCATCTGTTAGGAGAGGTGTGATCTTGGGCACATTATAGCTCCTCTCCATATCCCTGTTTCTTCATCTGTAAAATGAAAATAAAATATTACCACCCTCATCGGTTTGCTATCAGCATCGCTTGAGATAATCTAGTGAGGAGCGTTCAGTATCTAATAGGTACTCAATAAGTGCTACTTGTTAAGTCTTTTGTAGCTCAGCTATCCCATGATTCTATGGTTGTTTAATAATAACTAGCATTTATTGAGTACTTATTACATTCCAGATACTTGTAAGGAAAATTTGTATAATGAATTTCATACATATGTATACATATATTGGATTATATATATATATATATATTTATTATATAATTTAGAGAGATAATATGAAATATAATTATATATGAAACCCGGTTATATGTATATATGTATGAAATCCACTGCATACATATATATGCAATGTATTACATCAATGCATATATAATACAAGCAAACTCATACATATGAAATCACATTATATATCACATAACAGCACTCTAAGGCTTACACTATTTTTGCAATGACACAACACCCATTTTCCAGATGAGGACACTTACCAGAGGGATTAAGCACTTGGTCTTCGGCCACAGAACTGCCAAGAAGCAGAGTCAGAATTCTAAATTGAGAGTCTCAACCACTTGGCTCTTCCTCCCACCTCAAAAAAAAGAATAAAATCATCTCACAGTTTTGCGTGCATTTCTCGGCATCGCCTCCACACAGGAAAGCCGTTCAGATTTAGCTCTTTGATCTCATGCAGGAGAATCTACCCACTGCTATTGCCTAACCTGGCCATTGCAATGTCCTATAGCTTTTGATGAGTGTGACATCAAGGGGTCCTATTTCCCTCCCAACGGTACCGAGCCAGGAGGTTAGGAAGAGCCCATACTGGCGATTTGAGGCAGGTAAACTTCCAGATCATCAAGGCCTTGAGACCCCCACACAAAGCACAGCGAACTGTACTTACTAGAAGCCAGGAGGCCCCTGGCTCCTGCTCACTCTGTGCTCCAGGGCCAGGATGAAGATTCATGCACAAGCTCTGTTTGAAATGTGAACCAACAGGAAGTTCTCTGACTTCTAGCTTAGGACAGATTTTACCCTTGCCCCAAGTTGAAATGGAAGCTGGTCTCCCAGGGGAATTCCCTGGTTTTTAATCTTCTGGTGGCTTGGCACAGACCGGCAGGCCTGCCCTTGCCATTCTAGTCGTTTAGAGGAAAAGAAAAAAAAGAATATCTACATATTAAAAAAAAAAAATTCCTGCCAGACTCTTGACCGTAGTCACAATGACTTATTGAGAACAGTGGCAGCCAGCCTTGACCTGCCGTGGCTCCCATTGCAGCGATTCCCTTGCTTCCACCATCCATATTCTCCTCTGTCCTCCTGGGGATGAGAGGAAGGATTCCTTTGTGCTGGATCAGGAAACAAAAGCCTGGCTTCTCCAACACATGTGTACAGGCCAAGGATCTCAGGAAGACTTGCTTATCATCCGTAATGAAAATATCAACAGGGTGACACTGAGTGGCTCCTGCACAGCACCCAACAGTACTTCAAAATAAGCAGGCTAACGTGAATGGCCACTTTTTAAAAATTACTATTTTATTATTTTTTTAAAAATATATTTTATTGATTTTTTTTTCAGAGAGGAAGGGAGAGGGATAGAGAGTTAGAAACGTCAATGAGAGAGAAACATTGATCAACTGCCTTCTGCACACTCCCCACTAGGAATGTGCCCATAACCAAGGTACATGCCCTTGACCATAATCGAACCTGGGACCCTCCAATCCGCAGGCCAATGCTCTATCCACTGAGCCCAGCCGGTTTCGGCATTAATGGCCACTCTTAAACTTGCTGAGTGGGACTTGGCTACCATAGGGCCTTTGGCATATGTTCATTTATATTAAAAATTTTAGGGGACCCTGGCTAGCATGGCTCAGTTGCTTTAGAGCGATGTTCTGTACTACAAGGGTCATGGGTTTGATCCCAGGTCATGGCACATAAACAGGTTGTGAGTTCAAACCCCAGTTGGCAAGTGTATAAGAGGCAACTGATCAATGTCTTTCTTCCCCTTCTTCTCTCTCTCTCTCAAAAAGAAAATCAATTAAAATATTTTTCTTACGGTGAAAGAGGAAGTGGCTAATAAATTTTATCTTCTTTGATCACCTTTAGAAATGAACGTACAGAAACAATCTTTTTCATTACTAGTGTAACTGGGTTGGAACCAACTCTGCAAGGTATTCATTGCAGAGTGGCCTGGACTAATTTAAGTTTCCTCATCTTCAAAATGGAATGGGTAGTGTTGACCTCACAGGATCTTCTTAAAATTAAGTGAGGCCTGCCCAGGATGGCTCAGTGGTTGAGCATCAACTTA